CCCCCAAGACAGGGTTTCTCTGCATAGTCCTGGCTGTCCTGGCTCTTGCTCTGTAGACCAGGCTGGCCTCGAACTCACAGAGATTGTCTGCCTTTGCCTCCGGGTGCTGGGATTAAAGGCTTGCGCCACCACGGCCTGGTTACGGCTAATGTTTTAGAGAGTGAGTCAGACATTGCTCCCCAAATTTGCACAGAGCGTCCCAGGAGCCCATTGCTGCCCCTTGTGATGGAGAAGTTGAGGCAGGCTGAGCGTCTAGTGCAGGCTAAGTGTGTTTGCTCAGTGAAATACGGGCTTGGATTGTTTTCCTTGGTGACGATCCCTCCCCTACTCTGTTGCCAGGGACAGCCCTCACCTAGGTACCATGTCTTTAGCCACCAGTGGGGGAACTTCCAGGGGGAAGCATGGGGAATTCCTATGGGCATGGAGACTCAAGGAGACGCATTCCCAGGAGCTGGGAACTCTTCAGTGCCCGCCTGGGGTTCTCCAAACAGGGTGCTCCTCTGGCCTGGTCCAGAATCGAGAATCCTCTGAAGCAGAAGCAGTTGCGGACAAAGAGCACTTTGCAGCGGTGGGGACAGTGAGAACACTCCGCCAATCTCTCTCTCTCTCTCTCTCTCTCTCTCTCTCTCTCTCTCTCTCTCTCTCTCACACACACACACACACACACACACACACACACACACACACACACACACACACCTGCAGGCAGCTGTGGGCTGGGCTTGGATACCATGGAATGGCTAAGACCCAGGACTGGAGCGGACCAAGGCCTGAGACCAGCCTCAGCCTCCAAAGCTGAACATTTGGTTCCACCTAGTGGCCTCTGGCATTCAACTGTCCTAATGGAGACCAGCAAGGGGATGGCGTGCCATTTCAGGCGTTTGAAGAAGTGTGCGTGTGTGTGCGTGTGCGTGTGCGTGTGCGTGTGCGTGTGCGTGTGCGTGTGTGTGTGTGTGTGTGTGTGTGTGTGTCAGTATACACAAACCAGAGAAAGACACAGTGTGTCCTGCTGCATCACTCCCCCATATTCCTTTGAAATAAGGTCTCTCGGTGAATCTGGGGCCAGCTGGGCGACAGCAAGCCCAGGAAATCCTCCCATCTCCCTCCATAGCACTGCAGTTATCAGTCCATGCAGCCACACCCCGGCTTTTTATTTATTTATTTATTTACTTTGTGTGTATGAATTCTTTGCTCCAATGCATGTATATACACTACATGTGTGTGTGTGCCTGTTGGATCCCCTGGAACTGGGGTTACAGATGGTTGTGAGCCATTATGTGGATTCTGGGAATTGAATCCAGGTCCTTTGCAAGAGCAACAAGTGCTCTAACCACTGAGCCATCTCCCCAGCCCCTAACATACCTGGGCTTTTTTTTTTTTTTATAGATTTGTGTTTATTTATTATGTATACAGCGTTCTGTCTGCCTGCCAGAAGAGGGCACCAGATCGAATTAAACATGGTTGTGAGTCACCATGTGGTTGCTGGGAATTGAACTCAGGACTTCTGGAAGAGCAGCCAGTGCTCTTAACCTCTGAGCCATCTCTCCCGTCCTGATACCCAGGCTTTTTGTGTGCGGTGCTGGGATTGGAACGCAGGTCCTCAGGCTTGTACAGCGAATGCCCTCACCCACTGAGCGGTCTTCTCCCCAGTCCCTCAGGGTTCCTTGAAGGCCTAGTACGAGCAAGCACCATATGAAGGGGGATGGGCTCTGTGTGAGCATGAAGGAAAAGCCGAGGCCTGGTGCTTGCTTCAGTCAGCCCTGTGCTCAGATCTAGATAGTTCTGGGAGCTGCCTGAGAAGCAACTGAGGATCAATCCCACAGCAGCAACGCTATCGCAGAGTCCGTCCATTCAGGATCGGACCTCTCAGGTCTTCAGTCTCCACCGCTGAAAAGTAAGAGGGTTGGTAGAGATTGTCTCTGAGCTCTTCACTGTCCCAACTCAGCAAACTACAAAGGAGCAGGCGAGGGTTTTGGCCTTGGGCATCACATAAAACTCTGTTTGGATCTCTGCAGTCACTAGCTGTGTGTCCTTGAACAGGTTTCTGATTCTTTCTGCGCCTGTGTGATAATGGAGGGAGACTAGTCTGTAATTAGGAGTGTTCAGGACAGAGCCTGGTACTCGGTGGATGCTCGGTACGAACAGCCATGGCTCCTCTTTACCCAACTAGCCACAGCCTAAGGCGGAAGGTGGTGGATTTCAGCAACTGCAGCTTCATGTCACAGGAGTGGGGAAGACAAAAGGCCAGAGTGGCTCTCCAGGATTAGAAGAGCCTGGTTCTGAGCACAGAGGAGCATGTGGTGCTCACGGTGGGGTCCTGGCACATCCCTTAAGTTTCCTGAGGACACAGGATGTGGGGTCCCAGCTTCCTCTCTCTGATGACATGATCTGGGTTGTGGTGGTGCCGGAGCTGGGTTCTGGCTGATATGCCAGACTTGAGCCAGCCCTCTGGCAGCTCCCCAGACCCCTCAGCAGAGGAGGGAGGCTTCTGTCTTGCTCTTTGTCTCCTCCTCCTTCTCTCTCTTTTTTTCCCCTCCTGGAACTCCTAGTTTTACACAGCATGTCGGGACCTACTGGGTAGGGTGGCAAGGTTCCTGGTCAGGAAGTTCTCTGGGAAAGCGGCTTCCAGATTGACAGTCTTGGTGGGAGTGCTCAGTGATGCTGCCAGCCGACTGTAAATGGCTCCCAGTCAGCCCTGTCTTCAGTTTGCTTTGGCCTTTCTCCTTAGCTACAGAAGCCATCTCCCTCAGTCTCCATCCCAGTGACCCCTGGCATACAGATTCCCACCTGGACACGGCAGTCCGGTGTCCCTACTCCCACCTCTGTCCTGCAGGGATGGGTGGACAGAGTCCGTTCACTCACCCTTGACCTCTCCCACACTCCCCGCACGTAGCCTGACCCTCCAGAGTTGCTGGCTCTCCTGAAACACTGCATCTTGATACCTTTGCACCTGGCTGCTTTATGCTGTCGGGAGCCTCCTGCCCACTCTGGACCCCTGGAAAGTAACACGGTCAAATCATCATTGCTCCTTTGTGTTTCAACTCTAGTCCTCTCCCTTGCCTTTGGGATAAAATCTGAACTCAACTCCCTAGTCTAGCATACAAAGGCCTTCTTGCTCCGTCATTGCCTGGTCTCTGGCCTCAACCCCAATGCCTCCTTATTTACTGCCCTAGCCCCCCCCCCCCCCAGCCTCTTGCACATTATTGCTGTGTGGCAGGAATATCACCCACTTACACACACACACACACACACACACACACACACACTGCCATTGCATGTGCTGTATCTTCTGCCTGGAGCATCCTTCCTACTTTCTCTCAGGAACCTTTAAAAGGCTTTGTTCAAGTCATCTTGCTTTGGAGAACTTCTGATCTTCCAGACGACCCCAGGCTCCTCTGACCTTGACCCTGCCTTTCATAGCATCTATCATGGCCGAGCTATAATTATTCATTTGCATATTCATTTTCTTTCCGCACTGAAAATTCCTGGTCTTTTGCACTTTTGACTATACTTCCATATTTTTTATTTTATTTTATTTGTGGTTTTTAATTTATATTTATTTATTATGTGTATAGTATTCTACCTGCATGTGTCCTTGCAGAGGACATCTCATTACGGGTGGTTGTATGCCACCATGTGGTTGCTGGGAATTGAACTCAGTACCTCTGGAAGAGCAGTCAGTGTTCTTAACCACTGAGCCATCTCTCCAGTCCCTTATTTATGGTTTTTTGAGACAGGGCTTCTCTGTGTAGCTTTGGAGCCTGTCCTGGAACTCACTCTGTAGACCTCGAACTCACAGAGATCCGACTGTCTCTGCCTCCCGAGTGCTGGGATTAAAGGCATGCGCCACCACTGCCCTGCTTATTTTATTTTTTATTTTTTGTTTTTATTTTATTGTGGTTCCAGTGCCTCAAGCATGCTAGGCAAATACCACCACTAAGTCATGCCCCATCCCAGAGTGTGTTGTTATAAGTTTTTGCTTGTTGCTGCTTTCCTTGGGGAGTTTGTCTGGCTAGGAGACAAGGAATGGGCTCTTGCCTGCTGAGACCAGCACTGAGTTAAAAGGCAGTGGAGTCAGATCCAGGCTGTGAGCCTGGCTCTGCCTTGGACCAACTACATAGTCATGAATTAACTTTATATTTGGAATCTGGGAAATGGAGCACAACAGCACTTCTCCACAAAATGTATTAAGAACCCAGCCGAGTGGCACACCTAGCTAAGTATCCAATGGTTTCAGCAATTATTATAATTCTATTTTAATCAACAAAGCAAAAATAGGGTCTTGCAATGTAGCCTAAACTGACCTTGAACTCTTGTCCTTCTGCCTCAACCTCCCAAATGCTGGGATTACAGGAATCATCACCATGCTCGGCCTTAAATTGGGTAGAATTGTGCTCCAGTTATAGTCTGCCTCTGCATCACTTAGCAAACCCCATTTCCCTGGTCCCTTTGAGGGCTGTTCAGTCTGTCCTTAGAGCCTGAGAAGGGGCGTGATGGAGGACGGATGTGTGAGGGCTGCATAGACTTGCTCAGTGTCCAGCAGAGGGCCCTGGTCAGACCATGGCCAACAGGATTGGAGGAAGGGCCAGCCATGCCAGACTCCTGACTGGAGGCGGACCCAGCTGCCAGCTGCCTCTTTTAATTCCAGGCAGCCCTTAGGTCCCTTACCCTCACCTCTCGGAGGCAGCTGCACCCTGCTCTCCTGGCCATGCGGTGGCTGTGGCCCCTGGCTGTCTCTCTTCCCGTAGTGTTGGCTGTGGGGCTGACTGGGGTCTTTGGGACGGCCACCTCATCTCTGGGTGGGCATAGAGCGAAGGTCCAGGAGCAGCAGAGTCGACCCCGAAGAGGCACCAAGGACGAGGGGCCCAAGGAGGTGCAGCACTATGTTCCTGGGGAGTGGGCTGAGTACCCCAGGCCCATCCATCCTGCTGGCTTGCAGCCCACCAAGACTTGGGTGGCCACTAGCCCCAACCCAGACAAGGAAGGGGCCACCCCAGATAGTGGAGAAGAGCTGAGGGTCAACCTGACCGGGACACCAAGTCAGAGGCTGCAGATTCAGAACCCCTTGTATCCGGTGACGGAGAGCTCCTACACCGCCTATGCTGTCATGCTCCTGGCTCTGGTGGTGTTTGCTGTGGGGATTGTAGGCAATCTGTCTGTCATGTGTATTGTGTGGCACAGCTACTATTTGAAGAGTGCGTGGAACTCCATCCTCGCCAGCCTGGCTCTCTGGGACTTCCTGGTCCTCTTCTTCTGTCTCCCCATTGTCATCTTCAACGAGATCACCAAGCAGAGGCTCCTGGGGGATGTTTCTTGCCGGGCTGTGCCCTTCATGGAGGTGAGTATGTCTTTCTATCGCCCGGCTGTAAGCCTGCGGTTCAGGGAAGGGACTCCAGTCTCTACAGAGACCCAGAAAGCAGATCTGTAGGTAGGTATAACCCCAGCACTCTGGGGGGGTTCCCACTCAACTGGTTTTCTCTGTGTCATTGTGGAAGGAGGTAAACTCTATCAGAAAAGGGGACAAACTCAATCAATATTGGCTTCTGGTAGCCCTCAGGAAAGCAAGTCAGGCCAGACGAACAGGCAGAAGTGTCAGACCACGGCTTGAGTCTAACCTGGGCTTCTGCTTTGGGAGTAACTGTGTAGATGCTTCACCTTTTTTCTAGGTTCTGAGCTGTCTCTGATGGCTCCACCCAAGAAATCTCTCTTTCTTTTGGAGTCCCCTTTTCCTTTTATTGTGCCTCTTGCCTGCCCTGGACCCATGGCTCCTCTTTTTAACCCTTCTGTATCCTGACAACCTAGCAATACCCGAGGGGGACCCCAGTTTCCTACCAACACCCCCAGGTTGAGTCAGTGGTGTTGAGCCACCAGGACAGGCCCTCCCTCCTTCCTGACCAAGTTTATTGCTACCTTCAAGGTCATCTCCTTTACCCTCCTCCTAAGGCTTCTCTGAAAGGCAAGCCCCACCCTTGGGTACTAGAGCTGGTAGAAATTCTGGCTCTGTCACTGTGCTATGCTCGTCACTGGACAGAGCCCGTCTCTCCTCATTGCCTTAGCTTTCAAGCATGGAGGGTAGACCAGATGGCCCTTCTAGCTGGCTTGCTCTACAGTTCTAAAGTGTAGCACTGAGCATCCCTGAATGGGGACTTCCATGTTAAGTTAAATACGAGGATGAGAATGACTGTGTAGATCACAAGGAGACATCTTAATCAAATCACTGCACGCATCTACCCATGTGTGAAGGCTTTTGTGTTTGTGATAGCTCAAAACAGTGAGCAGCTTTCCTTTGTTTTTATTCTTTATTTCTAGATTTGTTTTTACATTTTCTCTCTCTCTTGTCCTTTTTATTTTTTTAAAGACAGGGTCTCACTCTGTAGCTCAGGCTGCTGTAGAACTCACTGTACAGACCAAGCTGGCCTCAAATTTACAGTGATTTTCTGCCTCAGCCTAGTCTTATTTATTTATTTATTTGTTTGTTTGTTTATTTGTTTGTGTGTGTTTGTTTTGTTTTGTTGAGACAATATCTCCTATAGCTCAGACTAGCTTCAAACTTACTATATAGTTAAGGATGACCTTGAACTCCTGATCCACTTATCTCTACCTCCAAAGTGCTGAGATAATGGACACGAGCTACTACACCTCTCTTCCCCCTTTTTTTATTAGATAGGATTTCACTATGTAGTCAAGGCTGGTTTATAATTAAACTCACAGTATTTCTGCTTCAATCTCCTGATTGGTGGGATTACAGACCTATATCATCACAGTTGGCAGGAACAGCCTCCTCTCTGTCTCTCTCTCTGTCTGTCTGTCTCTGTCTCTGTCTGTCTCTCTCTCTCTGAGGCAGGGTTTCTCTATATAGTCCTGGCTGTTCTGGAACTTAGTATGTAGACCAGTCTGGCCTCGAACTCACAGAGAATCTCTTGCCTCTCTCTCCCAAGTGCTGGTACTAAAAGCATACACCATCACATCCAGTGGGAACAATGTTTTAAATCATGGCTACAGGGGGCTGGAGAGATGGTTCAGGAGTTAAGAGTGCTTGCTGCTCTTTCAGAGAACTTGGATTTGGTTCCTCGTACTCACATGGTGGTTCACAATCATCCATAACTCCAGTTTCAAGGGATTGATGCCCGCTTCTGAATTCCATGAGTATAAGGCACACACATGGTACACTTACATACATGCAGGCAGAAACAATCATACACATAAGTAAAATAAACACATTACAAAAATAAACCTTAGCTACAAGGGGAATCGTGAAGGGAATAATGGCCTCCCCATGAACTAGTATCAGGATCAGGCATTTGACACAGGTCCAAACCCCCAGCTAGCTGTATGTTAGGGATATTTCAAGATTGGTCACTCTGTGAGGTGTAGCAGTTGAGATGGTTTCTTCCTGTACTCCTAGCCCATGGACATCATCTGTTTGGTGGTCCAGGGCCTCCCAGATTAAAAGAGACCCTACAATTCAACATGGTCCCTGCATCTTCTTTTGTTTGATGGACCATCTCATTATGTGGCCCTTCCCAGTCTGGAACTAGGTGTGTAGACCTGGCTGGCCTCAAACTCACTGAGATCCACCTGTCTCTGTCTCCTAAGTGCTAGGAATAAAGTCATGTGCCACCATGCCTGACATTGGCTTTTAAACCTTATCTGTCACCTGATACTCACTGCCTAGGTGGGCTAAGGGGTTAGACACACAAACTCTGGGTAGGGTATCTGTTTGTTGGTTTTATTTTAGAAAAGGTCTCACCATGTAGCCCTGGCAGGCCTGGAACTTGCCATGTAAACCAGGTTGGTCTCCAACTCACAGAGATCCGTCTGCCTCTGCCTCCTGAATTTGGGAATAAGTGGACCACTGTGCTGGGCCAGCACATCGCTTTGGAATTGGACAGATTATATTAGAAACTGGGCTCTTTGTCCAAGCAATGTCGGTAAATTATTTAACCTGCCTAAATCTCAGTGTTCTTATCTAGGATGACAACTATCTGAATGAGCTGGGGGTAAACCTAGGGCTCCACGCATAACTAAGCATGCACACCGGAAGCTCCAAAGCTCTTTGCTATTATTATTATTATTATTATTATTATTATTATTATTATTATTTGTTTTTCAAGACAGCGTTTCTCTGCGTAGCTTTGCGCCTTTCCTGGAACTCACTTTGTAGCCCAGGCGGGCCTTGAACTCACAGAGATCCGCCTAGCTCTGCCTCCCGAGTGCTGGGATTAAAGGCGTGCGCAACCACCGCCTGGCACTCTTTGCTATTATTTTGAGACTCCCATTGTAACCCTAGCTGGCCTGGTTCTTACTACAGCTGTAGCCCAGACTCAAGCTAAGGGCAGGCCTCTTACCTCCTCCAAAGGGCTGGGAGTGTAGGTGTGTGCCACCACATCCAGCTGGCTAGGTTTCTTTTTGGCAGCACTCGGGGTTGAACCCAGAGCTTTCCACATAGGCAGGCATTCTCCTGCTGAGTTATGCCTCCAACCCCCCACTCCGCCGCCCCACCCCACCCCCTTTTTAGCAGCGGGGATTGAACTCAAGGCCTTGTGCATGCTAGATCAATAATCCACCACCACTACTACTGATCTATATTGCCAGGTCTTTTTTTTATATTAATTTTGAGACAGGTTCTGACTAAGTTGTTCAAGCTGGACTCACTCTGTAGTCTGGGTAGGCCTCCGGATTTTTATTCTTTTGCCTTAGCCACCCAATTAATTGAGGTTTTGAAGGCCGAGTAGCCATGCTCAGCTGCTATTATTGTACTATACAATTATTGTTAGTGTTATCAATTCTACTTTTAGATAGGCTCTTATGTAGCCCAGGCTGACCTCAAACTTGCTAGGTTGCCGAAGATGACCTTGGACTCCATGAGCCATCACACCCAGTCACTGGGTTAGCCCCAAATCTTTCTTGCTTTTCTTTTCTCTTTTGTCCTTCCTTCCTTCCTTCCTTCCTTCCTTCCTTCCTTCCTTCCTTCCTTCCTTCCTTCCTTCCTTCCTTCCTTCCCTTTTTTCTTTCCATAGTTCCAGCTGGCCTCAGATTCACTATGTAATGGACGATGATCTTGACCTCCTGGTTGTCGTGAGTGCTAGGATTACAGGTGTGTGTCACTATACCTGGTTAGTCCTCATTCTTTTTTTTCTTTTCTTTTTTTTAAAGATTTACTTTATATATATATATATATATATATATAATAAATACAGTGTTCCGCCTGCAGGCCAGAAGAGGGCACCAGATCTCATTACAGATGGTTGGCAAGCCACCATGTGGTTGCTGGGAATTGAACTCAGGACCTTTGGAAGAGCAGTCAGTGCTCTTAACCTCTGAGCCATCTCTGCAGCCCCCCCCCCTTTTTTTTTTCGAGACAGGGTTTCTCTGTGTAGCTTTGTGCCTTTCCTGGAACTCACTCTGTAGCCCAGACTGGCCTTGAACTCACAGAGGTCCACCTG